GATCAATATACTCTTACATGATTCTTTGTAATGTAGACCAGCTTATCACTTTTTTATATTTCAAAAACTTTCATGTGCCGAGTTCCCCGGAACGGCAATCCATATGATAAAATGGATTGTACAAGTCCATAGTAATTCATCTTAAGTACATGTAGGGATCCTGTTTCTCGTAATTGTTTTATTACAAAGCACATACTTTCGTAACAAGGTTTTTTATATGTACCTCCCACGTTAATTTCTGATCTATAATCAGGCCTAGATACTTGAACTGACTCACTTGCTCTATGGAGTTGTGATTATCTTTTATTAGGGGGCAGTGATCATACGAAATGTTCTTTTGTTGGAAACCAAGAAGACCGTTTTACTGTTATTGATTACCAAGCCATTATTTTCACACCATCTGGGGAATTCTTTTGCGGCCGAGTAATACTTGCTCTTTCTTACAAGTTTATTATTTTATGTTATCAGCCTACATTCTCTTTTATTTGTCCACTTACTAATTTTTTATTTAACTTCATTGTGATTGAGGCAAACATAGGATATTTGATTCAGTAACATTAGGAATAGGCATAAATTAATAATTGTTCCAAAATTGTTGTAATAATAATCTCATTCATCAAACCACCACTGTTTTCAGAAAGGTTTTCGGAAAATTTTGTATTATAGTTGTAATATATTGATATTCTGTTAGGTACTCTGTATATAGAGATGTTGATAGTTATGATCCTGAAAATTCTTCTGACTCTACTGTTGAGAAAAATATTCCGATGAAAAAAATGTGGGGGATTCAGGGAGGGATTCTTCTTCAAGATCTAGACGTAATCTCATTGTACCTGTGAGGTTTTGAGATGAATTGTATTGAATATTGCAGAGAGTTCAATCTAAAATTGTTGTAATAATAATCTCATTCATCGAACCACCACTGTTTTCAGAAAGGTTTTCGGAAAATTTTGTATTATAGTTGTAATATATTGAGATTCTGTTAGGTACTCTGTATATAGAGATGTTGATAGTTATGATCCTGAGAATTCTTCTGACTCTACTGCTGAGAAAAATATTCCGATAAAAAATGTGGGGGATTCAGGGAGGGGTTCTTCTTCAAGATCTAGACGTAATCTCATTGTACCTGTGAGGTTTTGAGATGAATTGTATTGAATATTGAAGAGAGTTTAATCTAAAAAGGGAGACAATGTAATATATTGAGATTCTGTTAGGTACCTACTCTGTATATAGAATCGTCGATAGTTTTGTATGAATCAGACTAGCGGTTGTCGTGAGGTAGGAATAGTTATTTGTTTTACTAGGCAGCAAATGGACTGCCGCGGCTGATAGTTCATAGCCGAGCGTAGTGAGGCAATCATTTTGTGTTCACCCAATGTCAGTGTAAATTTTGATTACCATTTTCATCCAAATCACTTGGATCGTTGCATAGCAACAAACTTTTCTTGTCTAGGCAGAGAAAGTACACCTTTGCTGCCTGTTGAGTGTCAAAGAAAAGCTGTGTTTTTCTGGGTACAAGTTGTTATAATAGAATAAAATTTTAATTTTTTTTATCTCTTGGAGTGCACGAAAGGAATTTCCTATAATGTGCGTGGAACATCGTGCGTACCTAGGGAGGATATGGAGAGGAAGTGGCAACGAGTTCCGAAGGGGTGTGCTGACTGGGCCTGTCTAGTTTGTCTTTCTGGTATTGCTAGTGATAGAATTATAGCAGAGATTTCTGAGGAACATTTCCCGTGGAAGTGTCTATAGAAGAATGAAAGATCGCCGACGGTGTTCTAATGGGGTCAAAGAGTCGGTAAGTGTGGCATCACCCACCAGGCGAATGGCTCTTCTCTGGAGGGAATGTAAGAGCATCAGCGTATGTTTGGGTGCTGAACCGCATACATGAGAACAGTATTCTAAAACTGACCGTATCTGTGCTCTGTAGATCATGAGAAGCTGTAGGTGTAAAGTAGATTTTTCGCACAGAACAATAATCCGAGTTTTTGTGAAGCAGCTTTTGCGCTGGATCGGACATTATTTTTCCATGATAGAGTATTGGTGATGGATCAGACATTATAATTCCATGAGAGAGTATTGGTGATGGTGATACTGAGCATAGATATAGTGGTCTTGGTGGGTATGGTGCTACCAGACATTGTTATATCAGGTATTCTAAGGTCCGCCTTTCTAGAAAATAGAGGCTAGAGTTTTGGTGGCGTTGAATTCAGCTAGGCTCCCTAGGCTGTAATTTCCATAAGATATTCATTGACAGCGTTGGCCTGCCTTCGTCGTAAGTTCTTAGTTTCCTGGGAAGAAATGGGAATTCTAGAAGAGAACGCAGTGTGGAGAGTACTGTCGTCTGCGAAGCTGTGGATAAAGCAAGTGGTCGCTCCCAATAGATCGTTGATATGACGTAGGATCAATGTTGCTGCCAAGATTGATCCTTGTGGAACACCGGAATGGCCGTGTACACCTCAATAGAACTTTATAATAGTATAAGAAATATCACGAGAATTTCATTTGTAATTTGTTATAACCTTCCGAACGAAAATCGGAGGTTAGTTTGGCATTGTCATTGAAAACGCACGATTGTAGTTTTGGAGAGATGGAGAAAATGAGAAAAAAATCTAAATGTTTTGTGGTCATTCCTCACGACTGCAACATGATTACAAGTTTTGTATTGAAACATCTATATAAAGGACGATTCAAAATTCGATGTAAATATTTTCAGGGCATCTAAAATAACGGATTACATCTTCTGGAAATTGGCATGCCCTCGTCTTTTTAGACACTCATCTATTTCCTTCTTGCTTTAAAAATTATGTAAACCCAGTTTTGAGGGGGGTGGAGGGGGTCTACCCTTTTGGATGGCCCAAATTTTATGTTACAAATGAGAAACTATCTGACTTTGAATTCCATGATTTTGTGGGCCATAAAAAAATGGAAGAATCCGGTAGGTTTTAGGTCACGTCATTATATGAAGAAAAAATTTAATCTTGATCCCAACAAATAAGATATTTACATCGAATTTTTTTTATCACCTTGTATATTAAATAGGTTCTTTTTTCTCATTTTCTCCATTACCCCAAAAGTAGTCGCTTGATTCCAACAAAAAAATGCAACAGTTTTTGTTTTTTTTTGTTCCTATTTCGATGTTTGTACCTGCTGATATGTGATATTATTTCATTATTTTTCAATACTTTTTTCTTTATTTTGTTATTGGTTCCAAATGATGCGCACATTTATTGAAATCAACGTAAGTTACGTATTGCTTTACTTTTTCCTAAATATTGAATATTTGACCTATATAGACACCCATCCCACAGGGATGAATCTTAATTACGCCAATGTTCGGTGGCGAAAGCCATAATCATTAATTATTCCTGAGCTCTGCAGATCACTTTGGAGATGACCGGTAACAGGACAATTGTCCTAAAGTTGGTGTGCAGATTTTTCTTTCCATTTTTGAGATTGGTTGTACTCTAGCCATTTTCCAGCAAGATAGAAAAATATCCGACTTGTAGGAGATGGTAAATGGCTTGCAAAGAATCGGTGTCAATTCTTGTGCACAATTTTTGAGAACAATGGGTCGAATTCCATCAGGACCATTGGTCTTATTCGTTTTGATACCGAGCAGAATGCTCTGAATGACTTTGAACCATCAACAATTTGATAACAACATATACCGTTAGTTTGATTACAAATGACCCCTCCTACCACCCCACTTATTTTGATCCATTACTTATGGGACACCCTGCATACAAGAAATCATTGAATGACGTTGCCTCCACCACATGTGGCAACTCAAGATACTCGCTTAGATATTTGTCAAGAGGATTTTAAGTATTATCTAACCCAACCATATTCATTCCGAAATGAATAGAATTGTTTTTAAAAAGTTCAACGAACAATTCAATATATCAAGAAAACATAAAAATGTACCATAAAGGCGGAACAGCAAAAAACAAACATCAAATGAGTGAAGTAATAAAAACAATTGAATGGTTTTTTGGTACTCACATTATGCATGCATCTAGCAGTGAAACCAAAGTCGAGGAGAACAAAGTGACATGTGAAGTCAGCAATCAGCTATTGAAAGTCGAGTCAACTGCCCCAAAAGAATTGATATTTGATTCCTCCATTATTTATATTGGAAACAGTTGCAATTGAAAAGAAGTGCTTTCAAAGTGACAAAGGTCCACATTTCAGCTTCACAGATATGTCGAAAACTATTTGAACTACAATTTTGAATTTTTGTGGTTTTGAACAATGGAATGCGGTGACCATTTTTGGTATAAGAGGGTTTCATTGCAACATCGCATTTCCAATCACGTGATATCAACTTCAAAATTTCAAATGGAACACCCTGTATATTATTGCATTTTTGTGAAGACTTTCGTAATGCAAATACTACGATACCATCATTGTCAGGGTTTTCATGTGAAACGGTGACAATATGAGCTGTCAAATAAATGGAAAATGGAAAATTTATTAAAGAACAACAGGAGTATTTTAACTCTAGTGCCAAAAAACCGCTGACAATTATGGTATCGTAGAATTTGTATTAGAAAGGACTTCACGAAAATGCAATAATATACAAGGTGTTCCATTTGAAATTTTGAAGTTGATGTCACGTGATCAGAAATGCGATGTTGCAATAAAGCCCTCTTATATCAAAAATGAACACCACATTCCACTGTATGAAACCACCAAATTTCAAAATCATAGTTAAAATAGTTTCCGAGATATCGACTGGCCAAAACCTCGTGGGCGACCCTGTATATTCTTGGTCCCTGGGTAATAATGATATTATTTACTACCTTGGTGTATACATAACTATTATATAAAAAAAAATCACAAAAAACACAGTTGACGACCATATTAATGACTTAACGAAAACAGATATCAAAACAAACGCATAATGTCCTCATATCACCTTCCACAATGTCTATAAAACGACCTATTTCAGTTACTTTCCTTTACTCTATAATAATCCACAATATTTTATATTTCAGAAACATGAACTGATGCAGCATGTTGCACATCAAACAATTTGCATGCAGTATATCCTGGAACTAGCTAAACAGCTTGACTATGATCCAAGATCCTGCATAGATGCATTCTTTTCAAAAATACAAGTGGCTGAAGTAGAATACAAACAATCTTTCGAAGATGAACTTAATCAATTCAAAAACAGGATCAAGAAGCGAGCTGCTGAAAAAATTGAGGAGGCAATAAAGGTAAATACTGTATGTATGTTCTCATCATTTCTGAGAATTTTTCTTGGATTTATCTCTTATCTGAAAGAAATAGAGTTTTCTGGCCTTGTGGTATCGGTGGTAACGGTCTTGCCCCAAATTTATTTTTTGTTCTCTATATTTTTTTGATTGGTGCCATTCGATAATATAGTTTTGCCGTTTTTAGAGTTTGAATTCAAACTAGACAGTGAAGTGTAAGTTGTAACAAATACAAAATAATATAATAATAGATCAAAGAGCAATATTTATCAGGTGCGAATAAATCAAGATTGATACTTCAGCGGCCTCTAGCTCCAAAACTAGCCATTATATCAGTGATATTTGAGCATTTTGTTAAGAATAACTATAACATAATTATAAAAAATTCTGCGAATTCGACAGGAGGCTAATTCCCCCTATAAAACGTGACATAGCCTTTGAATATGAACTCAAAAAAAACTATCCATCTCTGAATTAAATATGTGATTGATTTGTTTTTTGTTTCAACTTGTAAGACCCATTAAAATTGATTTTTGTTCACCATTATGAGATGATTTGAACATATTTGATTTTTGATGAATTCAAATATTATATTATCTATGAATTTGTTACAATTGTATTGTTATTATTGTTAACTACTTACTCATACCAGAACGTGCTTCTGACTGTAAGACATATTTTCAGAATCGGTACGAAAATTTCATAAATTGGATATCAGTTTTCAATTCCCAACTTTGACACCCTGTATATCGAATATGAAGGGCTAAAATGAACAATGGTATTTAGAAACTCATATTGTTTTTGTTCAAGGAATATATGGTTAATGGATTGACCTCCTTTTAGCGGACACCCTGTATATCAGATCCCTTGGTTCTCGAAGTACTCCTCATCCATTCTAGATTATGTATGTTCCAACACTACCTGTTTATCTTGTGAGGTTGTAAATAGTGGTCTCTCCGATCATGAAGCTATAATCTCTCATTTTCGAACTGAAGACGCAGTATCAAATGGCGTTAAAAATTATAGACGCATATATAGTGAAAAAAATTTTGAAACGTTCATGGAATTGAGTTCAAATATACAATGGCAGGAAACTTTGAAGAATAATGACGCTTTGGCCGAATTTCATCTTCACATTTGTGATACTTTCGAAAATGCATTCCCTCTCACTAAAACGAAAACTAAAAACAAAAAACAGTGGATAACTAAGGGTATAAAAGTATCTGCCAAAAACTTGCGCTCCCTTCATTATATAAGGAAATATTCACTGAAAAATGAAGCGTTTATGTTATATTTCACAAATTACAGGAGAATATATAGAAATGTCTTAAAAGCAGCCAAACAACAATATTTTGGAAAAAGAATGGACAATTCCACCAATAAATGTAAAGAGAGCTGGGCTATTATCAATAATCTCAGAGGGAAAAATAGTAAACCACCCTTAAATACTACTCTGTCTGCAGATCAAATTAACGATTATTATTGTTCTATCGCTGAAACCATTTCTATGGATATAAGAGCACAAGAGGACCCAATCTCCTACATGAAGAATTTATCTGTGAAAGACTCCTTTTTCTTCTCACCCACTAGTCCTGATGAACTGAAAGAAATATTGAAGGATTTCAAAAATAAACATACTTTTGGATGGGATGAGATTTCAGCTAATGTCTTACTCCATCTACCAGATGATGCTATGACTGTTTTAGCAGAGGCAATCAATAAATCATTTCTGAGTGGGATTTTCCCGAACTGTCTCAAGATAGCCATAATAAGTCCTTTACCTAAGGGAGGAGACTGCGACATAGTATCAAATCTGAGACCAATTTCACTTTTACCAACTCTGGCTAAGTTAGTTGAAAAATTAGTTAAAAAAAGAATGTTCTCATTTTTGCTTCATAATCGCACTCTAAGCACCTACCAGTTCGGTTTTCAAACAGCTAAAAATACAAATGATGCTATGTTTGCTTTATTAGAGGATATATATATCAACATAAACGATGGTGACGCAGTTGCAGCAGTTTTTTGCGACCTTTCAAAAGCATTCGACTGTGTTGATCATGAAATTTTGCTTCAAAAATTAGAAATTTATGGCTTTAGAGATATTACACTAAGATGGTTCCAATCATACCTATCAGAGCGTACTCAAATAGTCTCGCTAAACAAAATAAAGTCCAGGTCTCAGTTAGTGAAGTGTGGGGTCCCTCAAGGATCTGTGCTTGGACCAATCTTATTTTTAATATATATAAATGACCTAGCAAATATCACTATTAGAGGAAAGTTTACTATGTTCGCAGATGACACCACAATACTGTGGCATAGCAACAATAATGACGAACTGAGTAACTATGTCGCTGAAGATATATTGGAAGTAAAAAATTGGTGTGATGCGAATAAGTTATCATTCAATATTTCTAAAACATGTATTTTGACGTTCAAGTGCACTCTTAATGATATACTTCTGGAGAACTCAAGAATTTGTACTCAATCCTCGGCTAAGTTTTTAGGGCTCTATGTGGATGACAGTCTCTCATTCAACACCCACATTACAAATTTATGCAGAAAATTATCTTCTGGTTGTTTTGCAGTAAGAGTCATCTCATCTGAATTGAATATATCTGCAGCAAGATCAGTTTATTTTGCCCTGATTGACTCAATTTTGAGATATGGAGTTTGTTTTTGGGGGAATAGTTCTCAATTTCTTTTGAACTCTGTGTTCATTTTACAAAAGAGGGCGGTTAGATACCTTAGTAAAGCTAAATTCAGAGAACCATGTAAACCCTTATTTGTGGCTCAGAAAATACTGACATTGACTTGCATCTTCATTCTAGAGAGTGTATGTATGATCCACAAAAAATATACCACGAACATTCATTCGATGTCGGTATACAACACAAGAAATGTTGACTGTACGGTTTCCCTACTAATTCCTAGAATTACATTAATAAAAAAGTCTTTTATTTATAATGCCAAAAAAATGTTTAATCACCTGCCTTCACATATTCGTTCATTGCTAACACATATTAAGTTTAGAAAGGCATTAAAAGAGCTACTACTGAATAAAGCCTATTATACCTTGCAAGAATTTTATGAAGACGCATTTAATTAAGTTTGTCAGTTTGTATAATTCGTTTTTAATTGTTCAATACCTTTTTTTATAGTGTGACTTTTACTAGTATATGTTCGACTTAAATGTTTTGTTCCTTATATATGTGCATATTTTACATGATTTTATGTAGTTTTAATATTAGTTATAGCTTATGATACACATGCTTTGTCAACAAAAACTTTAGGTTTTTAGTACAATAAAGACTTTCTTCTTCTTCTTCTTCTTGGCAGGCTTTGCTCGTCAAACCTTCTAGAATAATCTTCCATACCCTTCTTTTGTTCTGGAAGTATCTTAGAACAATACCTCTCTCTCTAATTGTTATATGTCACCGCGACATATATTGTTGGAGAACAATCTGGGATGCGTGTTACAGGGTGATCGTTGTACTCCTGCCTTCCTGATGATGTTTCTAGGGGAATATAAAGTGTGTGTGTGTGTGTTTAAAAGTGTTTTTAACCGCCAGCTTAGTTGCAAAGCAACCCTCGAAAGTCAGAGACTTGTGTGAGTTAAGAAGACGGGGACCTTAGCTTTTTAAGTGTCATCCGAAGCACTACTCGGCTGGTAACCATGGACAGTCCAAAGGATTGATATCTAGGTACCAAGAATGTTGGGTTGGCCACCTATCTCCTCCCGCCCAACGAAACTACCGAAAATTAATTCAGTGCTCGCGCCGGGGATCGAACCCGGACCGCCTGGGCAACAGCCAGCGACTCTACGCTCACGGCCACCAGCCCATCATTACAGTATTTTATCTCTGTCTGAATTGAATCTTTACAAACTTCACAGTGAGATGAAAACATCAATATTGGAAACTTCCCCATTCATCGTGAAAACTGTATGTCAATTTCTCTTAAAATGACACATTAAACTAAGGAACAAATAGGAATGTTAGTGATGGTCAATGGTCCTAACATATTTTTGGGGGTGATTCACCATAAATGTCCCTCCTCTAGCGCATTTATTTTTTAACCGATCCCAAAATTTGAAAAATTATTTGAAATTATTTTTGATAATTTTTTCACCGCTACATACAGGGTGCTCGTAACAAACGATCTTCAGGGTACTAGGTCATTTTTTAACATGGAACATCTTGTATTCCATCGCATTTTTAGATTCTCCCTGAAGAGCTGATTTCATCAATATATCACTTGGGGTCTAGCGGGAATGATAACAGAGATATAGGGTGTTCATAATCGAGATTTTTCAACTTTATTACCCTGTATTGTTGCAATCAAATTCCAGTAGATAGTAAATCAAAAGTTGAGACAAGGACATGTGAGTCGTTTTGACCAATAATTAATAGTATAGACACAAAAAATCCTAAAGTTTAAAAATCTCGATTTTGAACATCCTATATTACTGTAATCATTCCCGATAGACCCCAAGTGTGATACATTGATGAAATCAGCTCTTCAGGGGAAATCTAAAAACGCAATGAAATATAGGGTGTCCATTTGAAAAAATCAACTAGTACCCTGTAAATCGTTTTTTCCGAGCACCCTGTATTTTCTGATGTAGCGAAAAAAAGAATGTATCAGAAATCATTTCAGATGATTTTTAAAATTTTAGAATTGGTTGAAAAATAAGTGAGCTAGAGGTGGGGGGAGGGGGCATTTATGGTGAATCACCCTGTAGATGAATCTACCATGAAAAAATCGCAGTCGAAAATCAAAATCGACGTATCAGAAAAAAGAAACCACCGAATTATAAATGAATTCATTCCAATCCTCGTGTTTTTTCACTGTCCTTACTTGTTGAAATGTCACACTGTGTACAAAATCTGTTGTAATATTCCTTGCTCGAGGCGCTCCAACCTAAACTGACTTGTCCTCTTATAGTAGTATTCGTCTATTCTCTTTTCATAGGAAGCAGAGGAAGAAGAAAGGCAGAAACGTCTAGGCCCTGGAGGCTTAGATCCTGTGGATGTATTTGAGAGTCTTCCAGATGAACTGAAAAAGTGTTTTGAAACCCAAGACATCAAGCTCCTTCAAGAAACAATCGCCAAAATGGATGAGGACCAGGCAAAATATCATATTAAGAGATGTGTAGATTCTGGTCTTTGGGTGCCAGATGCGGGAAAGAAAAATGAAAATGCAGATGATTCAAAGGAAGAAGAAAAACAAGAAGAGGCTTAAGGATTCATTTTCTGTTTATATAGTTACTTATTCAATATGATATATTTTACTTTAATAAATTTCCGTCTCTTTTCTGTGTCTATTTCTTTAATTACCTAGATACCATTATTTGAGTGAGTAATTGTGTTGATTCTAAAAATGGTTCTATAGTATATTTAGTTTGTCACGGATGAAGATGAAATAAACTGATGCCATCTCAGCTTCATATCACGAAAATTACCTGAGTAGTATATTAAAAAGGACCATGCAAAGTTCTTTCATTCCAGAAGCGAAGTAGAACAGTAGGTATAATCATTTTCTAACCTTGAAGTCTTCACAGTAATTGCAAGGTCGACTATGTTATTTAAGTACAACATTTGAGTTGATAGCAGGTTTGGGTCGAATAATGAAATCCGGTATTCAAATACGAATCCTGAATACTGTACTCTAAATTGTATTCGAATACAAAAAAAAAAAGTATTCCAATACCGCCGTATTCGAATACCAGGATTCATTCATATATGAATATTCCAACTGAAAAAAAAAAAACATTTGTGCACATGAAGAGCTCGTTAATATTTATGTATGTATTAGATAATTTATAAAAATATATAAAAAAATAGAAAATCTATATTAAATAAAACTTGATAAATAATTTTTTGATACAAAACGTCACAATGAGGTTAAATAAAAAACATTTTTTAATTTTTATTTCACAGTTTTATTTGAAAATTTATTCAAGATAAAACGATATTCAATCAATAAATGAAACTTGACATAAAGTACTTTGGTTCATTGGATAACAGTAAGGTAACACAAAATAATTGTTCAGCAAGATAATAATGGAAAATAATATCAATAAATAATTAAAATAAAATTCATTTCATTCCAAATAAAACATAGGAACTAATAAAATATAGAGGAATCTCATGAAAACAGACTAGTTCTTCAACAGAAAAAAAAAACATCCATCAAAAAGAAACGTAAAGATTAAGAATTTCCTATCCCGTTCGCCTTTAACAATACCAACATTTCAGGAAGATCGTCACTTAAATTCTGACGCTCTACTGGAGCAGACGACGGTAATATAGAGTTATATCTTGAAAATATTTGCTTAATTGAAGGGTAATCATCGCGAATTCAGAAGCACCACCGTCCACAACCACCGAGAACGTGTTCATACGTGTTTGAACACGCTCAAGTTGCGTTAAGCCGGAGACGTCGCAATATATGATCGACCAATAATATTTCGCGACGGCTCCGTTTAGGCGTAACCCTTGATTATATACACGCGTAACGCAATATTCATAGAAATAATCGAAAAGTATTCGAATACCGGGATTCGAATACAAAGTGGGTATTTGAATACTGGGATTCAAAAACGGTATTCAGAATCCAGAATACCGAGTACTGACCAAAAAAGTATTCAGTCGAATACCAAATACACAAATGTATTCGAATAGTATTCGAATACCAGCCAAATGTATTCTGAATAGGATTCAGAATACTGGGTATTCGAATACTACACAAGTCTGCCCCTATACAGGGTGTTTCAAAACTGAGTATCAAGATTTCAGTTGCATATTTTTCAGAAATATATGGCTTTTTTCCTATAAACATGTGTCCGCAAACGTTTCCTTTACCGATCTACAGAACGATAAAATTTCGAGATTTTTATCCCTTTCCTTATAGCTCTTATTAGTATTCGAGATATTCAGATTCAATTTGAAACAAAGGAAACGTTTTAGGGTTTACAGTGTGTCTAATTATTGTAAGAATCTACAGGGAGATATTTTTTCAGGGGTCAAGCCATTTTTCGCCTTTCTTCTGATGCCGCACTGGTATTTAATGAAATACGAAAGGAGCTCTTTGACCTTTTTTGTCTCATGTAACCTCAACGGATCTGCGACCGTTATCGAAGAAAAATAGTTATTTATTATACAAGGAAAAACAAATAGATTTGAGCTCCACAAAAAACCGTCAAAAGTACTCACTTTTTTCTAGTGATAAAAGAGTACTTTATTTTGTTGCTAGATTTAATCAATATATTTTCAACGAAAGGAGGGACCTATTATCAAAATTAATGCAAAGAACGCTACATATTTAGTTTGTAATCTTGATTACGAGTTGCCAAACATAATCTAAATAACAAGAAACGGAACAAAAATTGACTTTATAGATTGTGTTGGAAAATAAAATAATCATAAAACTTCAACGCTCTGTATATCGGTACGAAGCGTTTGCGGACACATACTTGTAGAAATAAAAATCCCTTTTGATCTGGAAAATAAGGCCCTGAAATCTTGATACTGAGTTTTGAAACACCCTGTATAGTATCACTACCTACTAACCTTAATAACCATTATCTCTTAATAGCAATATTTCCTGACACAATGAGGTCTATAATAATAACAAGTTTCCATCGTTCAAGTTTGAACCCCTTGATTATTGGGTGAAAGTATTCAAAAGGAATATTCTCAGATATATTTATGAACACAAAAAAAATGATATGTATATATAAATACATTGAGAATTAGCATTCTCCATGTGATGAAAATATCAATTCTTGTCCTGTATGATGAATGTCAATTTATCATACATAAAGAAAGGAGAAAAAAAAAGCATTCAGGTATTTGAAATAAATTGATAATGTGTGTTAGCAGACCGTGAGCGGCTGATGAGGCCGGGTGAGCCGAAACAGTGCTGCCAATTGGGGCAGCTCTGTTCATCCTTCATCACTTAGTTATGAAATGTAGCAGGAAATTCATAATTGGTTGGGGAAATAAGTTTTAATGATTCATATTTGAACAAATTTAATCAAGTCAATATGTTATGTGCTGCCAATTGGGGCAGCTCTGTTCATCCTGGATCTCTTATATACTTATGAAATCTAGCAGGAAATTGATAATTAATTTGTTGTGGAAAGCTATAATGATCCGAAGATCAAATTTAACCAAGTCAATATGTTTGAATGAAAACTCGAAGGTTCTAGAAGTTGCTGTGCAACTTTGTTGATAATTGACATAACATAAATCACATTTTAGCAAGTTACATGATAATTTCTGAAATTCCCAAACCATTTCGTTCTGTAACTTGTTTATGATCCCTTAAACAATCATGAAAAAATCACGCAAATAAATTCAATAATCAATGGAACAAGCATTCAGGAATTTGAAAGAAATTGATTATGGATGGCAGCAGACCGTGAGCGGCTGATGAGGCCTGGTGGGCCGAAACAGTGCTGCCAATTGGGACAGCTCTCTGTTCATCCTGGATCTCTTAGTTATGAGATCTAGCAGGAAATTGATAATTGGTTGTGGATAGTTATAATTATAAAAATTTCATTAAAGGACCCCGCACAAATCAAATGCAATTTAGATTTCTGTCAATTTCCTACCCAAATTTGTTTGTTAATTGACATATAACATAAGTACATGTATAATTATCTATACTTGATTATTTTTTCGTCAAAAGTATTGTGTGTAGTAAATGCATCAGATGCACCTCCCTGAAAGTAATCGTGCATGGTGGCGCCCATGTTAGTATATATGCATGGGTCTTATAATTCCTCAAACAGATCTACCACCCGCCCACCCAAATAAATTGAATTGCTCTGTATTTCCAGTGGTATTTCGTAATAAAAAAACAAATATAAGTAACTAAGAAAAGTTGTATATACAAAATGAAGGTCAACAATCATTATTTAAAATAAATATAATGACACCAATTTTAACATAAATAAAAAATATCATTGTCATTTGAGCATTCCAATATTCTAAATTATTTATAACAGCTTATTCAATTCAATTTACAGCATCTCTATCTTTCTCGAAAATCCTTCCTCAGAGAGATCGATTTTGATATACAACATACACAAATTTACAAAAAATACACGTACATTTCTAAATCACAAAATAAATAAATAAATATTAGGTGAATCCATTATTATCATTGGCATTTAAATACTCCATTTCAAATAAAACTGGAACTTCAGTGGATAATTCGTCATTTATTGCAGTAAATTCTTCCATGTCTGTCGATGGGTTTTCAGATTCGATAACATCATTTGCTATTATATTTGTATCAATTTGGACTTCATCTGAAATCCAAAAAAAAATCATTTTCAGAATGGCACACAGTTACTGAAATGGTACATTCTTGAAGTGGAGTAAGTTTATTTAGAAAGAAAAACGCATAAAACTCTACAGATTAGCACAAAAACGATATGAGATACCTATTTCCAATCTTCGAATGTTTCTTTGTATATACATGTAATAGCACCCAGTAGGTATGCAATATTCTAAATCGATAGAAAATTCAATTCTGAACAGAAACTGTCATTTAAACGTTTATCCTAAATTCAAAAATTACTAAGCTATCAATGATTTTTCGAATTTGTCAAGGTGGCTTTCATTTCATCAACAAAATCAGTTTTTTATGAATGTCATCAAGATTAGGATGTCCAATGTATAAGTTTTGCAAGTAAAAACAACACAGTTTGTGTTTTTTGAGAAATAATAGTTATTTTATGTATAAAGGGCGTAAAATATGCTTTTATGGACCGTATAGACCTCTAGGAGCATTTATAACGCTTGGAGCAGGAGGGGGGTGTTTTTATTAAAAGCTTTCATTTAACTTGCAATGTATGGATGTATGTATGTTAATTAGTTCGGATGGAATCTTTGAACTCAATTTTGAAATAGATATCTTAAACCGATTGAGCTGAAATTTTGTATACACGTTTAGTTTGGATGACAATGCACGATAAGGTGTGTGAAGTTATTCTAAATCCAGTATGGCGGACCATCCGAGATGGCGGAATATTTTTTTAATGCACTCCCAATATAGGGTATCAAATGAAAGGGCTCGATGGGAGTAACTCGAAAAATAATGTGATGTCATTCTTAATTCAATATGGCGGAATAGTTATTTTTAATGCACTTCTACAATATGGGTATCAAATGAAAGGACTTGTTGGGAGTAACTCGAAAAATACTCTGACGTCATTTTAAATTCAATATAGCGGACCATCCAGGACGGCGCAATAGTTATTTTTAATGCACTTCTTCAATATGGGTATCAAATAAAAGAGCTTGTTGAAAGTAACTCGAAAATTAATGTGATGTCATTTTAAATTCAATATGGCGGACCATCCAGGACGGCGTAATAGTTATTTTTAATGCACTTCTACAATATGGGTAACAAATGAAAGGGCTTGTTGAGAGTAACTCGAAAAATAATGTGACGTCATTCTGAATCCAATATAGCGGACTATCCAAGATGGCGGAATAGTTATTTTTAATTCACTTCTACAACATGAGTATCAGATGAAAGGGCTCGTTGAGAGCAACTCGGAAAATAATGTATAACATCATTAGAAGGTATCCTTATTGAAGAGCTGGACTGCTCGAAATTAACCGGCAAACGACCTTGCAACAATGATTGAATGAAATGAACAGACTGAGAAACCTAGCCAGCGCTAACCAAAAATTGAAAAATAAATTCAAAGTGAAAAAAAATTAATAAATAATTTACAATTTACTTGTGAGAATAAATTAGTACTAATTTAATTTTGTAAAATCTGCTGTTAGAAGTTTTGAAATTTCAATTCAATTAAATATTGATCATCGCGACAAGCTCTTATGATCATATAAATTCTGTATAATGAGGTTATAAGTTGATAGTTAAAATCATAAAGGAACATTTTATTTTATTTTTTTGAAGCGTTCAAATAAAAGCTTTTTATAATTTTTTTTTTACTTTCGATTTATTTTGATTATCTAATTATATTTTCTTTATTTTGCGTCTTCAATGAACTCAATATGATACCCAAATGCGTATCGAAACAGCGTCTATTAGGACACCCTGAATTTCTTTTTTTTCAAAGTTGGTAATCGTAAAGTCAAACTGTCAGTCACATTTGGGTCTAGAGTGAGTGGTTTATAATTAATATTGTTTGCACTGATGCGCTTTTGTTTTGCCCAAATTTGACGACAATAAACAGTTGAAAATCGCAATATAAGGTTCTTGTAAGATCTACATTCTAATAGATGTCGCTGTACGAATTCTCTCTAAAATGAAAATATGAACTCACTTATCAGAATTTCACTAAACACTATCAAAAATCAACGTACTTACACCATTTCTGTATCTTTTTGTCGTGATTTTTGTTATTTGGTCCGATTGCCATTGAAAATATAATGCAAGTAGTAAGTCTACAGTCTACACAAAGTTTCTAGCCGAGAGCTGCTTCGCTCAACAACGCAAGAGAAAACTAAAGAGAGAATGACCTCACAAAAGATAGACAATAAACATTGAATATATTAAATATACTATAGAAATATAACTGCAGAACGATGTATTATATTTTATTAACGAAAATAATCTATAATAATCATGTATGTACTAATCAATTGTTGTTGCTTCGAATGGTGCAATTGTTATATACCTATACCATTACAGGTATCTTGAGCATTTATTATCAATTTTGCCGGTAAGTTTTGCTGGGCTGCTGTCTCATTAGTCTGACAAACATATATTATTGTTGTTTTCGAAATTTATAAAAATGTTTCAAATAATCGATACCGTTTGACGTCATGAATATCCCTTTTTCTTTATACTTTATGGTAAGGCAAAGTAACGACAAGTATACCTACCTACCACGACTAACACAATCACCTTGACAAATTTGAAAAATTAGCGATAGCTTCACTTTTGAGTGTGGGATAAATGTTTATAGATATGTTTTTGTTCACAATTGAATTCCCTATTCATTGAGAATATTGTAAACTGGGTATCAAATGTAAAAAATTTGAACATTTTGACAACTCGAACTCGTCAACGCGATGTTCGATTCCATTTCATCATCGTAATCAGCGGAAAAAATACTACTATTTAATAATAATACTAATAATGATAGATTTTATTGACAGGGACGAATGATTTTCAATAATTTACATTATTTTGTAGCTCCAATATCAAAGTTAGCAATAGTGCCGTCTTATTTTTCAGCTCAGAATAAGACTTTTCTTCCCATGAACATGTGTTCGCAAACGCTTCGGTACCGATCTACAGAGCGTTGAAGTTTCATTTTTTTTCTTTATATAGCTCTTTCAGCTCGGATTAAATTTGAAACATTACGTTTTAGGGTCACATCATACAGTATGTCGAGTGATTGTGAGGATCTGCAAGGAGACATTTTTTCAGGGGACGAGTCCTTTTTCGCTAGGTACTGTGAATAATAATTCGCCGATATAAAATACCAACGTCAGGTCTGACAAATGTATTGTAGCAGGACAAGAGTGGCGATACTCTTTGCTTTTCATGTGGTAGTAATCTTTCTATTCAAACTATTTGCCTATTCGTCCAATAAATAGATGTCGCCTGCATCCACTTTCTAGTCCTAAATTTTTTGCGTGTTTATCAGTCCGGTACCCACGAGACTTTTTCTTGTTGAGCATTCGTGTTGGTGTAGAAGAAATTGCGAGAAAGAGAAATTGGACGTCATGTCAATCTTTGCGTAATCCGATGCTGTTTTCTTAGTTCGAAATAGCGTATATGAGTAGTCAAGAAGCGAACCTTTTGGTTTTGACAATAATATTATCCTAAGATTATTGGTGCCAGGTCCTTTTTAGGTATGTAAATTTCGTATTTTAATTTGTAGTGAATGTTGTCATTGGAAACGATTCCCAGTTTCTTGGTTAGGAACATTTTTATGTAAGTCCTGTATGTCCTTTTTAGATGAAAATATAATCCAAAACATCAGAAGCAATCACTGATTGTTCCTCCCTCAGTTTTGACACCCTACACCTGAGATTTTATTACGTAACCAGCATACATCACTTGCCGGTTTTGTAACAGTATTGATAAGTATCAACGTCAAAATCTCCGCATATACAAGGCATTGTAAAATATTGTAACATTCTACCACCTCAAAGTGAATAAAATCATGAATCCTCAGAAAAGGTCTTGAAAGTAGGTACTCGAAGTTAATCAGCTACACCTATCTGGCAAAGTTTGCTGACCGGTCTTCCAAAGGTAAAAAGTGCTGTCCTAACATCAGCACTCACTCTTCCGTCGGAACCAGGGTAGGTAGCAACTATTCTTCCTTTTGGCCAATTGTTTCTAGGGCCATTGTTTTCAGCAATAACTACCAAATCATCTAGTTTCAAATTCTGTGGATTCTCAAACCAATTTCTTTCTATATTCAGGCTAGGTAGATATTCTCTCAACCATCTTCTCCAGAAATGATCTGCTAAGTTTTGGCTAATTTGCCATTGACTTCTTAAATTTGGATTGGCGATTTCTAAACTTGGCGATCCAGAAGAACTTCCTATCAAGAAATGACTGGGTGTCAAACATTCCGGATCATGAGGTTCCATCGAGACATAGCTGTCTACTGTTGACAGTGAATTCAACTACATATAATAAAGTTCTCAATATTCCTTCCCTTGGACAACTATCCTCCAATATTATCCTCAAAGAGATTTTCACTGTTTTTATGAGTCTCTCCCATGCACCACCAAAATTTGGACTTGCTGCAGGTACAAAATCCCACTTTATATTCTTCATAGAAAGCTCCGTCGTAAGTTTTGAGTGATCAAAATTTTCTATTGATTTTCCAATTTCTTCATCAGCAGCACTACAACTAGTCCCATTATCAGAATACTGATTCAACAGACATCTTCTTCTGGAAATTAGCCGTTCGATTGCTAATATTGCCGAGTCTGTATCCAGTGAGTGAGCCAACTCTAAATGGCCACACAAGTAAATAGTACTCCATAACGCTTCTCAGTTCTCCTGCCGATTTTTATTTTCATTGAACCAAAATAATCGGCTCCACAGTTGGTGAAGGGACGAACAAATCCAGTAATCCTAGGGTATGGTAAATTGCCCATTTCAGGAACTGTAGGCTTCGATTTTTGGTTTTTACAAAATAAACATCTACTGAAGGCTTTCTTCACAGCACTCCGAGAATAAGTAATCCAGTTCTTCATTCTGAGTTCATTCATGACTGTTTCTAAACCTTGATGAAGGAATTTATTATGATAAAATTCAATTATTAAGTCTATGTACCTATGTTTATCATTCAAAATAATT